GGCCTTCAGCTACGACGATGCCCTGGAGGACACGGCGCCCATGACGCCGCCGCCCGCCGACCTGTGCGCCAGCATCCTCTGGAAGCAGCCGGTCATCCCCGAGCGCAAGTACCAGGAGCTCTCGAAGGTACGGGCCGGCTGGTTGCCGCCGGCCTTCAGCTACGACGATGCCCTGGAGGACACGGCGCCCATGACGCCGCCGCCCGCCGACCTGTGCGCCAGCATCCTCTGGAAGCAGCCGGTCATCCCCGAGCGCAAGTACCAGGAGCTCTCGAAGGTACGGGCCGGCTGGTTGCCGCCCGGGCACCTCCACTCTGCCTGGGCGCTGCGCTGCCCTGGGCAAGCTGCCTCCCTGCAGCAGGGACCTGGTGGGCCCGGGGTGCCCTCAGGAGGTGCCGGGGACAAGAGACCGGCTTTGGTGCCTGGCCCAGTTGTGGAAACCCTGAAGTATGGTTGAGATAAGTGTGTTCTGGAAGTCTCCTTGCTCATGGGAGGCATTTATGGGTGAAAAAGCTTCAAGGTGTAACTAGCTGTAATTAAACCAGAGCAAAAGGGTAGATTTAGGTTGGTTGTATGTTTTTTTGTGATGAGGATAGCGAGGTGCTGGAGCAGGTTGCTCAGAGAAGCTGTGGATACCCCATCCCTAAAAGAGTTCAAAGACAGGTGGAACAAGGCTTTGAGCAACCTGATCTAGTGGAAGACATCCCTGCCTACTGCAGGGGGACTGGGCTAGATGATATTTGAAGGTCCCTTCCAACCCAAACTGTTCTATGAAATGACTATAGGGATGCTTAGTGTGCGAGACCAGCTCTTTTAAATTTAGAGGCTGTTTTCTAAGTTTGAAGTGAAGTTAAATGCTGTTGTAAATAACTCTGCATCCCTTTGAGCTTAACCTCTACTTTTCATTTCATTTTGTTTTAAAATCTTTCTCGTGGAAGAAAGCCTGAAGTTGTGGTTCGGCACAAAAAGCAAACTGTGCAGTCAGGGAACAGTAACTCCAGTATTAGGAGGAAGAAGTCTGTGTTTCACAGAATTTCTTGTTTTCTAGCATTCATTGTCTGGGTTTCTGTTGCTGGGGTCTCATGATCAGTGGTTGAGTTATGACCGCTAGATATGCTGCGTGGGAAACTGATACAAGGAATAAGGGGGAAGAACAAGATCTAACCAGCAGCCTCTAATCTGTGTGACTGCCCTTCTGTAAATGGTTTGTGTTTCTGAGCTGTCTGTGGAAGGGTGCTTTTGCACAGTTGACCTTGAAGTCCAGTTTGCAGTTATGAGAATGGAAGTAGATATGTTCTGGTTTGTTTCCAGTTTTTGTACATAGACTAACAACTTGGGCTCTGAGCCTGGTAGATTTTCAAATGTTGGATGCAAGTTGCTTGTTCATTACTAAGAATTATAAGGTTCAAGCTCTAAATGTTCCTGGACTGTAGTGAGAACGGCATATGGGTTTCTTCCATGGGATGAAGGCTAGCTGCTAGAGCAGCTTGGCCTTGTGTCTCGTTTGAGTGGTTAGAGATGTATTCTGCAAGGTGCTGAGATACTTTCTTATCTTAAACTGTACCCTGCATCTTCCCCACAGATTGAGGAAGGGGATGCTAACATGAATGCACCTGTCATGACTCCTTCATCGTCCACTGAAAGTGTGAACAAGGTACCTGTGGTGAAGGCCAAGGCCACTCATATCATCATGAACTCTCTCATTACAAGTAAGATCTCTCACCTCTAATGTGGTGGCTAATGGGGTGCGGGCACCTGAGCCTGTTCTGGCTTGGTAATGCCTCAATGTAACTACCAGAGTTCCTGGACAGCTTGTGGATTCAGATTGACTCTGTTCTTGAGCTGTATGAGGTTTTTTGAAAGACTCTTCTAGAAGGAAGCAAGGAACTAGGGAATAGGCCATGCTTACTGCCTCTATGTTTCTAGGTGCTGGAGGTGGGTGACGAGGGAGGAGTGCAGGGTACATGATCTGCTGATAGGACACTGCAGTCCATGCCACCTTGTTGCTGGAGTGCAGAGGCGGCTGCTGCTGCTACTCTGTTTGCTTATTAACTTGCTCTTTCTGAATGACAGGTAAAGCTCTAAAATTAACCAAAGTGGTGTGGAGAGCTGATGTACTGTGCTAATGGAGCACTTGCTGGCATTTATGTTAGTTAATAGCAGCAGCAGCTGTCTTGCTAACAGTAACACTTACTTTGAAAAAAACAAACCTCGTAAATCATGATGCTTTAAAATCAAACTGGGTCAGTTATGTTTGCAGAGAAGACATGCCCATTTGCAATGAGAGGAATTATTCATGTGTTAATCTGTCCCTGCTGCCTCTTCTAGCAGCTGGGGTCTGAGCTTCATCTTTTCCTCCAAGCAGTGCTTCCAAAGACTTCTAGATTTTTTCAGACCAGCATTTTGGAATAGCTATACATTTGCACTTGTTTCAGTCCTGGCTCAAAAATAACCATCACATCAGAAAATAACATTCAGGAATACGGACTTTCTTCTGGAAAGCAGCTCCTGTTAGTCTAATGATAAAATGCTAATCTAGTTAAAACTATGATGGCCTAAAAATGTTCTTGTGCAGTAAAAAGTTGGGAGCCCCAGCCTACACCTCCAGGAAGTACATTCAGTCACAAGTTGGAAATAAACGAAGGTCCTCTAGATTTCCCATATGTATGGTGGTGTGGTATCCCTGAAAATAACTTTAACATGGGAAGCATTATGTTTTAAAGAAGACTTTGGGCTTTTCCAGTAATCTTTTTGTGCACTAATTCCTTTTGACTTTTTTCTTAGTTCCACTAGGGAGTGAACATCTTATGCTGGTAGTACGTTGTGGGGGGGAAAGTGCTCATGTTTTTCATAACTGAAATAGATACCGGTGTATTAGATGCTGGCTTTGTATTTGACTGAAACAGCTTATTTTACCTGATCCAGAATCACTGGGTGTCTTTACCACCTGTTTTGCAAGGCTGTGATTGTCAGATTAGCCAGTGTGGGCAGTCTTCCAGAAGACTACTTTTTTTTTTTCTTGGCCAAAAAACTCCCTTGAATCTAGAGGGCCACTTGAAATGTCTGACTTATTGAGGTCTCCTAGACTTAGGAATTTGTAATTACAAGTGATGCAGCTTCTTGGATGAGATGGGTTTAATTACAGGTGTTGCATTTGTAATACATCTGGTGATTTGGGGCAAATCAATGCTCATCTGACTTAGCCCTGTGAATCAGGATAGTTTTCAAGCCAGAATATCTCATTAGCTTCATCTCACTGCCTCTGTCAACTCATCACGTGTAGATATGAACGATGAAAACAGGATCTTATATACTTTATGTTGCCTTTGTTTGCTAGAGCTGCTTGTGGTGGCATTTCTGTGTGAATTTGTGCTCTTGTCCGTTCCAGAGCAGACTCAGGAGAGCATTCATCGCTTTGAGCAGCAGGCAGGCCTGAGAGATGCTGGCTACACTCCCCACAAAGGCCTTACTACTGAGGAGACCGAGTATCACCGAGTGGCTGAGGCAGTCCACGTAAGGCTTGTTTGGCATTGGCTTTCTCTAAGTAGGCTGTGTACTGGCCTAACACCTACCTGGTGACATAACTTTTGGAGCATGGTGCTAGGAGTTTCCTTAAACTGCTTCCTCTGAAGACTTTTAGCTCACTGTGGGGAAAAAAACAGGTTGCCCACTTATATTTTAAAGTTAGCATTAGCTTTTATAGTTTTGAAACATTTTCTTCTGTAATCTGTTATATTCCACAGTCTTTTAGACTATCTCAGTCGTCTTTCGAAGTGGGGGACACACATCCCCACACAGAATCTAGTTTCTTGCTCTACCTTTGAATGGTGCCCTGCAGTTGACTGTTGTAACTGTTTGTCCTAGGAGAACTTGTAAACTGTGCATTTCTGATGTGGAAGTTAGCAGATGGAGTTGGGCTTCTCTCTTACCAGAAACAAAGACAAAGGTCTTGAATCAACATGTTTCTGATGAGCTCAGTTGCCCACAGTAATCTTGCAGTTGGAGTTTAATAGTGAGCTCTCCAAGCATACTCCCACAAGGTCAAAGTTTCATTAACAGCGTTGGTGGATTGCGTTAGTGTGGCTTGGATAGCCGCAGGCAACATTCTGAGAAGGTGCCTGTGTAGTTGGTGTTTGAACTGTAACTGCCCTTCAAGTGACTTCTTCAAAGTTCAGTTTGTACTGGCTGACTTGTAATAACCTGGTTCACATACACCCAGTTCCTGTTTATTTTATGACTGAGCATACTCTTCA